AATGGGGTTCAATAATTATCTTCAACATTGATTTTTTCCTACATATTTCCAATTTTTTCATTCTTCTCCCTATTTCTCCCATATTCCTTTCATGTCTTGTCAAAAAAAGGTGGGAATGAATGGGAAAGGGCAAGCATTCGGTTTTTGTAGTTTTTTGAGTTTTCCCCCAGCCTTTGGGCGAGTTGGGTCGTTCTGGCAGCTGTTTTTTGAGAAGTGCAGGGCATCTCCAATACCCCTAAAATAATTTCTCGCCTTGAGAAATCCCACAAAATAGTATTCAACCTGGCTCTTTCCTGTAGTGGTTTTCCGAACCTCTCATATTTTTCCATATTTCTTTGCCTCCAAAGAACTCTCGATGGTAAGCATCGGTTTTTATAGGTTTTTGATTTTTTGAGTTTTTTTTTTCTCCAGCCTCTGGGCGAGTTGGGTCGTTCTGGCAGTTGTTTTTTGAGAAGTGCAGGGCATCTCCAATATCCCTAGATTAATTTCTCCCTTTGAGAAATCCCACGCAATAGTATTCAACCTGGCTCTTTCCTGTAGTGGTTTTCCGAACCTTTCATATTTTCCCTTATTTCGCCCTATGTCGCCCATATTCCTTTCATTTGCCTCCAAAGAACGATGGTAAGCATTCGGTCTTTATATGTTTTTGAGTTTGTTTCCAGCTTCTGGGCAAGTTGGATGGTCCTGGCAGCTGCCCACTTTGATTTTTGAGGAGTGCGGGGCATCTCCAATACCCCTAAAATAATTTCTCAAAGAACGTTTTTTGGTTGCGGGTTGCAAACTTTGATGTGTTCTTGGCGCAATTAAAATTGAAGGGAGATTCTGGGATGACTAGGAGGAAGCACACATGAAACATGATGTTTGAATTTATTTGCCCTTCCGGATTTGCAACGCTCCGATTCCAAAAATCAACAAGACATACCCAAAAAATAGTAAAACGCCTTTGCAAAGCTAACATTGTGCAGGATTTCCAGATAATGTACTTTGTGATTCCCCACCTGCCAGGTGAGGGTTGTTAGATTTTATCAGAGCTGTTCTCCTCCTCCTCCTCCGCCTCCATTGCCTCCTCCGCCTCCTCACCCGCCGCCTCCTCCTCGCAGTCCAGATCCCAGTGGGCACAGCCGGACCTCCACCGCGAGCTCCAGATCCCAGTGGGCACAGCCGGACCTCCACCGCGAGCTCCAGATCCCAGTGGGCACTGCCGGACCTCAACCGCGAGTTGCAGATCGCAGTGGGCACTGCCGGACCTCAACCGCGACTTCCAGGTCTGCCGGACCTCAACCGCGACTTCCAGATCGCAGTGGGCACTGCCGGACCTCAACCGCGACTTCCAGATCGCAGTGGGCACTGCCGGACCTCAACGGGAAGAATGTGAGAAAAGATGTCAGATAGAATGTCAGAAGATATGCCAGATAGAATGCCAGAAAGAGTGTCAGAAAGAATGTCAGAAGATATGCCAGACAGAATGTCAGAAGATATGCCAGAAAGAATGTCAGAAGATATGTCAGATAGAATGTCAGAAGATATGCCAGATAGAATGCCAGAAAGAATATCAGAATATATGCCAGATAGAGTGCCAGAAAGAATGTCAGAAGATATGCCAGATTGAATGCCAGAAAGAATGTCAGAAGATATGCCAGATTGAATGCCAGAAAGAATGTCAGAAAGGATGTCAGAAGATATGCCAGATAGAATGTCAGAAGATATGCCAGATAGAATGTCAGAAGATATGCCAGATATAATTTAGATATTTCTTTCCAGAGCTGTGGAGTATGTAGCTATATATGCCATGGTGGGGATCATTCGAAGTGAAGTATTTTTTTTCATTTCTGTTTCGGTAGGCTACGCAATGCTACGCAGTCCCTTTTGTCGCTAGATTTTTTTGATAGGGGTATCCTTCTGTTATTCTGAGATTTCTGATGCATATTAAACGTTGGGTTGGAGTGGAAGGGGGGGTGGAGAACACTTGTCGTTGAAGCTTGACATGTGGCCCCCCCTGCAAAATAAATATGTGAAAGGGGGTCAATTTTGAAAGAATATCATTCTAGGTAACCCCTGGGGAAAGACATTTTGAGGGGGGGGTGTTAAGGGAAATTATTTCCAGGTGTTCAAAGCTTAAGTCGATGAATCGAATATAGCCGAATAAGGGTCAAGCCCCGTTGAAATAATTATGTTTTATTATTTTAAGGGTGGGGAGGGGGGGGTAGCTAAGATAGGGGTGATGCTGCCTTCATCAGGCAGGATTGCTGCCTTCACAATAATTTTCCGGCCGTCGATCACTGCCGGCAAAAGTGCCACCTGGTCAGCAACTAAGGTCCCTGCGTTTCCAAAACGAAACTCGCTACGAACCCTTGACTTTTCAACTTTGTAGCCCTGATCAAACAATTTCTTTTCAATGTTCTCAAGGGTCCGGGAACGGACTAGGCTCTTACGGCAGGCGGTGTCAGGCACTCCGCACAAACTAAGCTTTGGGTCACTCGTGAACATGCCCTCACTCAGTGCTTCTTCTCCCTGACACACTTCAAAAACCACCCTGGTCGTTTGCTTGGTCATGGTTGTAGGTGGTGGCCCAAGCCCTCCTGCACCATGCTCTTGCTCATGGCTTGTCTGATCCCTAGGGCTTATGCCATGACGCTGGCGATTTCCGGTCGAGTGAGTGTCGGCGTTGCTAGGATTCCTGACATCACTCTCGGTCTCACTCTCCCATGTCACTGCTTCTCCTATGTTGTCTAGCTGGAACACTTCCCACAACCTCTGGTTCGCTGCATCACCCTCTTCGATGATGAAGGCCTCGCGAGTCTTTCCGGCACCGCCACCTGCACCCTGATTTTCCTTGTTCTTTTTCTGCGGACATTTCCTTTTCCAATGTCCATACCGTTGACAAATGAAGCAACGGGACCTTTGCTTCAGTCGTTCAATCTTTCCATTGATTGAACCCGTCAGCTTTAGAGTAGGTGTGGCACGCGAATAACGACTCGAAGCACTAGGTCGGAGGAAAATAACCTCTTGCCTTTTTTTGCTCCTGAATCTTTTTTTCTGATGTCGGTGTAGGACTCATAGGTCGTCGAGGGATTTCTTCTTCGTCGCCATCCTTCTCTTGAATCTCTGTAGCAAAAACCTGAAGCGCACAGCGCACGCATGTTGTCCACATCCTCGTCGACCTCATGAACCACCTCGGACTGGAAGACCTCCTTGGCCGTTTTCTGGCTGCCCTTCCCTTCGGGAAACACGGCCTTGATGGCCTTGACGACGGCATCCAAATCCAGTTTTTCCCCCGGTGGCTGTGAGGATCATAGATTCACTCTGCTGGTCGAGTCGCAGTTTCTTCAACAGTGAGTAGTCCACGACGACATCAGGCAACTTGATACCCAGAGCTGACAACTTGCGCTTTGCATGTTCAAAGCAAACCAGAAACTGCTTGTAAGACTCATTTCATGGCTTCCTGTAATAGGTCTATGGTTTGAGGCCCATACTTTTCGTCTAGCACAGCCCAGATTTGGTCATCGCCACCTTCCTTACAAATCTTTTCGACTGGCAAGCTTTCAAGTAGTGACTCAGCCTCGCCCCCAATGTAGCTCATCAGTTTGGGACCGAACTTGGCTGAACTAATCGTGCTAGGCAAGCAAGCGATCATCAGTTGCGCTCGGCGTTTCCACTGTCTGTAGCTAGAGGGATCTGAACCATCAAAGATATCTAACTTTCCTTTTGAGGTGTCCCCAAACCATTCTCCCCAGCCGACATGGCATGTTGCCCCTGGAGCCCCCTCGTTTTGAGATGGGCTTCCGCTACCACTAAAACTTCTCAGCCCCAGTGGATCAAACATGCAATTTCTTATGCTCGGGCAAAGAGGGCTTCACAAAGGACGCTGTTGCGCACTATAAGAACTCAAACATGGCTACACGCATGTGCAACTCACACTACACTGCATATTATCACTAACTTATAACTTATAACATCTTATAACCCGTTTTATATTGAGTTGCATATTCCTTCTAATATCAAAATAAGCTGCTACATACACCAGAAACATTGGTTTGGTAATTGTTGGACTAGTTGGTGTAGGGGTCCTAAATGTTGGCATTGGTACAAAAAATGCCAACTACTAGTATTACTTTAGACGGTAGATCTAATAGGTCTATGAATACCATAGATCTAAAATGGGCATGGATGTAAAAATCAGTAGATCTCAAAGTTCCTACAGATCTCAAAGTTACTATGAATAGCAAAAAAGCAGGATAGATTAGGTTAGATTAAACTATATAGATTAGAGTAGAGTAGCTTAGCTTAGCTTAGATTTCATTCGATTTGATTAGATTTCATTAGATTTCATTAGATAGATAGATAGTTAGATAGATAGATAGAGAGAGACGGACGGACGGACGGACGGACGGACGGACGGACGGACGGACGGACGGACGGACGGACGGACGGACGGACGGACGGACGGACGGACGGACGGACGGACAGACAGACAGACAGACAGACAGACAGACAGGACAGACAGGACAGACAGGACAGACAGGACAGACAGGACAGACAGGACAGACAGGACAGACAGGACAGACAGACAGACAGACAGACAGACAGACGGACGGACGGACGGACGGACGGACGGACGGACGGACAGGACAGGACAGGACGGGACGGGACGGGACGGGACGGGACGGGACGGGACGGGACAGGACAGGACAGGACAGGACAGGACAGGACAGGACAGACAGGACAGACGGACAGACAGGACAGACAGACAGACAGACAGACAGACAGACAGACAGACAGACAGAGAGAGAGAGAGAGATAGAGAGATAGAGAGATAGAGAGATAGAGAGATAGAGATAGAGATAGAGAGAGAGAGAGAGATAGATAGATAGATAGATAGATAGATATATAGATAGATAGATATTTATTTAGATATTTATTTAGATATAGATATAGATATAGACACCATAAATACCCACCGTGGATTTGTTAATTTTGGAATCCCAAACGGTCGCCCCCAGGCAAGAGGTCACGAACTTCCTGAGCCACGCTGAAGAGGCGGCGCAGGATCAGTCGGCCACCCCAGTGACGGTGAGGCCATGTCTTGGCACACGAACATGGGCAGAAATGCTGATTTACATTGATTCACATTGATTTACGTTGATTTACATTGGTTTACATTGATTTACATTGATTTACCATTTGATTTACCATTTGATTTACCATTTGATTTACCGTTTGATTTACATTGATTTACATTGATTTACATTGATTTACATTGATTTACCATTGATTTACATTGATTTACCATGATTTGCCATGTGATTTACATTGATTTACATTGATTTACCATTTGATTTACATTAATTTACCATTTGGTAATCTAACACAACAATGGAAATTCGCCATATACAAATATGTTTATATAATAGGATCAGTAAATCATTGGTTTTCTTCCGTGGCTATGTTGAATTACCCGAACATAACCATCAAAACTTCAGACATTAGCCACGAACAATGGTGTTCCAACAGCAACAACTGGGACATCAATTGATATTCACCATCAAAGATGGGGTCCCCATTCATGTTGGGGGTAATATTAGCGTTCGTCCTCAAACAATCATGAGACCACTGCTGGATTTCGGGTACCCAAGTTGGAGACAACCCCATTTGCAGTGAGGGATGTGAGGGTTGGGTTTCCATGTTTAGATATCCATCTCACGCAGGAACTTGCCGCACAAAGTGCAGGCATCAAATTTCAAGAATTCAATATAATGGATCCGCTCGATCAGCCAAGACACTGAACGCGTGGCAGAAGATTTACCGAGTTTTACCCAGCAGTGGTTGAGAAGAGTACTGTGGATATCTCATTCGTCCAGATGTCTACGTTATTATGTTGATATTTTAATATATATTTACCAATATTGATATATGATATGATTAGACATATTAAGAGATATTACTAGGTTATATTGATATTATCAATCCAAAGTCGGTGTTGGCCCAGTTTGATGCCTCTCCTTTGGCAGCCTCGTGAGAAAGCTGGAGCAGCTGAAGTGATGCCGCTGATCTGCAGCCAAGTGCTGACCTGTAGAAAGTCGTTTGCCCGTTGCATCCCGTTGCTTGGTTTCAGGCTGGGGATGTTTGTGGCCACGACGTTGCGTTGGGCTCCCAGTTTTCATTGCGTTACGACCGTTACGATCCGTTGGTTTTGACCTTTTGACTTTTGAGGTCCGTTGACCAGCTTCATGAACAGCCTGGGGACCTCAGATCAGGGGACATGGGGACCTCCCAATAGTTACAGTTACATGCATTGGTTAAGTATATTGTGCTACATCATTGTCCAGTTGGCCATATCTTGGGTGTAACATGTTGGCTTTATTTGGGTTTCAAGGGGGGCCGCGTGAGGACTGGTGGACGGCTTGTATTCGTGGCTTTCGCCAGGTGGGCCCCATGCGGAGCCGGACTTTGCCAGCACGTGCACAGCGGAGACTCGTCGCTGTTATGCCACCATGCCCCGTCTATGTCCAGTGCTTAGCACGGGCCATGCTCTGAGGTAATATGCGCTGAAGCGGCCACCCTCTTGTTGCGCCTGCCTCGGCATTTCTGAATAGTTTCATTGCAAGATATTGCAAGTGATTCAAGTGCAAGTGGCACATGTATTCACGTGCGAGCTTGTGCCAGCATGTGCGGTTCATTTTCTGATGGCCCTGCCCGGGTCCTTCGAGGATTCGCTTGCTCGGGCCACCAGTGTCGCGAGACCCCTTGCACAGCCCAAGGCTGTTGGAGTCAGCACCTCAGGGGCCATTGGCCCACAGACCAACCACTGGAGCTGAGCTGCGCGCCGCGAGCTGCGAGCTTCTCAGATTGACGTCGGCCATTGCGAAGACGCCTTTCCTGAACCTCACCCAGGGCTCGGTGGCCTGAAGCTCAGTGTGGGGGGAAAAGAGCTGATGAGCTAATGAGTTTTTTTTCCAAAGCTAAGATAAAGCAAAGGGCTCAAAGCAACAACATGACAACATGTATATAATATATATAACTTAACCAGCGGGGATATTCATTGGGGGCCCGAGATTTGCACGATGTGCTCTTTTGTTGAACATCACTTTTTGGTGGTAAAATGCCTGTTATCACCCCTGCTCAAGAGTAATTTTTATGGAGGACACATGTCCAGGGGCTGCAGCTCGCCATGATTCAGGTCTTTTCTGCAGTGCTGGCTGTCACCCACTATGTCTCGTGGCGATCGTGGGAGCCTGAGGACCAGGCATTCTTGGCTTGGATGATCGATTAAGAAATCGCATCTATATAGCACTTATGTAGCCATGTTTCGGGCCCACATATGAAGTTGGAGGACTATGACCTTGCAGATCATGCAGCTATTCACAAGTCATCCCTGTCATGTGGCTCAAGTTGCTTGTAGCAGTGAACAATTTTGGATATTCCAAGGCATGACACCTTCCTGGATATCAAGCATGCCGAGGCCCATATATGCACATACATACATATATATATACATATATATATATATATATGCACATCAGGTGCAGATGAGTACATCATGTAACCATACGGAACCCAGAAATTGTCATTCCCAGAAGGAAAAATTGTCAACCAACTTGCCACGGGTTCCATATTCAGTTTCATGCATGTGGTGGTCAAAATTGGCAGAGTGAAAACAGCCGGAGAGTTTTCTCCTAAAATTAGATCGACCAACCATTGTGCAAGCATGTGCAAGCCCCAACCCAAGGTCACTAGTCTCCAGTGCTTGGATGCTTTTTTTAGGCCCCAAGCTTCAGGTCAAGGATGTTCTTCATACTGGCTGGGTGCAACAAACTGCCGGATGCGAAAACGGCTGCAATTTGCTGCAACATTTTCAAAACCAGGCACTGAATCCACCCGGCACAGTCATTTATGATCAGTTGTGTGTGTCTCATCATTTGCTGGATATATCAAGCTTTCCTGTTGCTTTTTTTGGTAATCCAGATCAGTAGCTGGCTGGTGGTTCCACATATTCGCATATTCAATATTCTTCATTTTCGAACCCAGTTTGGGCTGCTGATCCCAAATGACTAATGCCTTCTGGGGGGTTGAAACGTGTTGAAACCATCAACCAGGCTTGGTGTACAACTCCAAGCAGTATTGTGGAATTGCTATGATTTGCTGGGGATTTTTGGACGCACAGTTTGCAATTGCAATAGAGTTGACGGTGGGTAGAATTAGCATTCGGCCAACAGTGAATCTTTCAGACCGATGCCAACATTGACAGGGCATAGCTGGCCTTCAGAAATTGTGGGAGGCGCAGTGCGGGTGGGCGGATTGCACGTTTTTCGGAGAATTGCTGAGGGAAAGAGTCAGAGTAATGAGTGGGAAGCTTGAAGACGATCTTTGCTACGCTTTAGAGGGATGCTGCTGCATTCTTGCAAAGATTTTGCGTGCTCATAAAGGGATCAACAGAATTGCCATGTCATGATGTCATCACCGCTAGTCAGCTGTGCTAGAGGGTTTATGATGCAAAAAAGGGTGACGTTGACATTGCCCAGGCTGCTAGCTCAAATTCACATCTTTCCCCGTCTGAGTCTTAAGTTTGAATTGATTTTGTTGACGAAACCTGATGCGCACTTGCTTGCAAATATGTAATCGTAATCATTTGGGACTGCATACTGCACTGACTGGGCTGCCCAATCGGACTTTAATTTTCGCTTCCTGTCGACAAAGGCTTTGGAAGCAGATCGCACGTGCGAAACTGAACCATGCTCTGGTTTGATGATTGATGAGATTTGGTAGCCACCGATCCTGCTTGGACTAACTTGTGGCCTGAGGCTGGCTGAATTCTCTAGAGCCCCAAGCTCAAATCCCTCTCTGGAAAGCAGCACCCACCAATGAACATGTTACAACTGAAATCAAAGTGAAAGTGATTATCTGGGATTATCTTGGCAGTTGCTTGTAGCTTGCACATGTTTCCACCATCATGCAACTCTGACCTCAGGCGGAAGAAGCCTACACCTGTCTATGTAGCTGCTGGCTGCGGTGCTATCAATGTGCGTTGGCTAATGTATTTCCTGAACCGCGCAGCTGATTTAAGGCTGGCAGCGGCCCTGTTTTCAGTCCATCATAGTCCATCCGCACTGTTTTTTTTTTTTATCGCATGAAAACCTTGTGATGTTGCCATGGCTGCCATGTTCCAAATCCCTGCTTCTTGATTTTCGATGCTCTCACCAAGTCACTGCAGAATCATCCTGATCTTGACTCAAACAGCCAGCAGAGCTACGCTCTGGTCTCTTCTATTTGGCCCCAAGCACGACATAGATGTTGCAGGAATGTAGCATTTACTTATTTTTGCCAATTGAATCTTAGTGACAGTCGAATGTGCTGTGCTCATTGGTTATTGCGCAAATTCCAGGAGCTAGTTCCACAATTTTGTGGGGAATGCTAATCTGCTAATATTTTTTTGCAGTAGAGAAACACGACAATACAGGAGAGCGCTATTTGGGTTAACAACTGTAGCTTCCTGTTATTTTTCCAAGACCAATCCATTGCCCTGCTACCGTTTTGCCCTTCCCACGCTCCAGACTGCCGCAAGTGATCTTTGTCACAGCAGAGGTGGAGCTGGAGTCCTCAGTCACATTTTCCATGGTTCCACATGGTTCAACATGGTTCCACCATGTTAAACCTGGGGTGGATTCCCAGGGCCCATGAATGACCCCCCATAAACGATGTTTTGCCACGGCACATGTGATACTGTATCCCACTTATCTTATGATTAGTATGGAATATTCCCAGTTGTATGTGGGTAAAAAATGGTTCTAATCATAAACAACCCAAAAAAGTGGAATGCGCTTCCAGGTAGGTTGGGTGGCTTCGATTTAGCCATAAAATTATGATTAAGCATGGGGGTATGGGCAGATGAGGGGACACCCCGAAATCTCAAACTAGTGCGGGAAAATGATGGTGCATCATGGGGTTTTGGGGTATGCCATTGTCAGATAAGGTGGCTACTGGCCTGTGAAGATGTGCGGCACAGCCGGAAAATGACTGGCTTGTTGTGCAGGGAGCCCCAGGGTTCTCTCAAAACTTTGAAACCACCAAAAACAATCCCAAAACCATCAACCCTCTCCGATTTATATATCATAATTTCCCTACTCTCTTTCTGGAGATCCCTGGCTGAATGCGACGGCCGCTCTAGTAACCGCTGAGGCATCCGCATTGGTCATGGATATATCAAGCCACTAGACCTCCATGACAAGGCGCTTTGCGCACTGGTGAAAGATTGAATGGCAGCTTTCCTTCAGCTTTGGGAGGCAAAATTCTATTTGTTTCCTATACTTCTGTCACTTGGTCAGGTGCTCAGGAAGTCATTTGTCAGAATGTCGATTTGCGCCCTGGAGACGTCAGGGATGGACATTGTCTCCCTGGACTTGGACGTGTTTCTCTTCAAGGCTGGAAGGCTTTGGAGTCGAGATCAGTGGCATTTCACCAGTCGATCTCTGCCAGGATCCTACTGCATGGCTTTTGCAAGCCGTTTATCGACAGAAAGCACCACCTTTGGATGTTGCTGCAGGGGCGCCTGGTGACTATTACTGCAAAAAAAAGCAGGGAACATGATTCAAGGAACAATCAATCAAGGGAAGATTTCAACCTATGGCTAGTTTGAACAAAGGGTTACCGCTCGTCCATCATTGTTTCTATAAGCAGGGGCAGGGGGTTAATCCCCAGGTTCAGACAGAGCTATATTTCAGCTTGATGGTTGAGGTTATGGACCACTTTGATGGAACCTGCTTGAATGCTGGCGTGATCTTTGCCTTTTGCCTGCACTAACTGTTGGAGTTGCAGTTGGATATGATGGGTATGGGCGATATGGGTAAACCAGCCCCTCCTTTCTTGGAGCCTCTCCTTTCTTGGAGCCTGTTGCTGTAGCTGCAACTTTACCAACAGACCAATGAAGGTCAATTTTGACCCATCGGTAGTTGCGGAGCTCCCAGATTGATGCTGACCTGCAGGGTTGAGATTTGAGGTCAGAGCCAGTGACAGCGCCCTTCTGTGGGTCTTGAGCCTTGCCTGCACCTTGCAGATCTTGCAGAAGATGTAGTGCTACAACTTCGCCGAAGCAGCTAAGCAACGGACAGCAGAAGTTGTGAGGCAATACATCAACTGGATGCACATCTATCCCTTCGGCCACTAGTTCTGCAATCTGTGAGTATTGCGTGTTTTCAAACAGTGTCCAAAAAAAAGACAGAGGGAGAGAAAGCCCAACCTTGCCGACACGCGAGGTCACTACCAGAATGGACGGACCCCCAGATATGGACTGTTGGCATTTAGATAAATAGCTTGTGGATGCTTGTGGATGCTTGTGGTGCATAAGCTGGCACCATTGGCTATGATTGCTGTAGGTGACATAAAGTCAGTACAACTCAACAAAATGACTTTCCAACAGCATTCCAACAGCCTTCCTGGGACGTGACCTGTCGAGTGACTCTCCAACTCTTTCCAGGCTTAGATGCATTCCTCAAGCATTCAGTGGTTGAACCGCAGATGCCAGAGCAGTTGACCAATGCTTGGGACTCTGATTAGCACGAGCCAAATCGGAGCTGTTGGGGTGGCTACTCTCAAACCCCTTAGTCGCACCAACTCAGTTGTAGAGCCAGAATTAGCTCGGGAAGTCAATGCAGCAAAGTCGCTCCAACTTGCGTTTAGGTGGTGGAAAACATATCGCAAGAATCTTGTCAAGTTGCAATCATTACCTGTTTCCACTTAATTGCATGGTCTTTGCATGTCAAACATGGCGTTTTACCGTTCTATAGTTCAATACTTGTAAATGTCAGACGTTGTGAACTAGTGCTTCGGCAGTCCTGTTTTTACTCTTGTTGGATTCTTCCTGCTGCTGCTGCTGCTGCGTTCTGCCTGCTGCTGGGTTCTGCCTGCTGCTGCTGCGTTCTCCCTGCTGCTGCGTCCCTGCTGCTGCTGCTGCTGTTGCTGCTGCTACTGGTGCTGGATCCTCTTTTGTGGCTGTTGCCCTGGTAAGTGGGAAGCAACCAGGCAAGCTGTAGCGGGCGACCATTAGTAGAGCAACAGTTTGGTGATGGTCCTCTGGTGATTGTTGCGATGCTGTAGGTGTCTTACGGCGTGCTGGCCGCGGATCTTGAGTATGTGACATTGGCAGGTGCGTGGTAGGTTTGGTTTTAATCAAGTTGAGTTCAGTCCTTGTTCCCTAGGAGTCTGCCCACCATGACATCATCATGACTCATGAGTTGTCAGAATCCCCAATAAAGCAGTTGGTTTAACCCCCCTATCTCAACTAACCAATCAACAGGTAGTAGTGGTATTTTTTGAGCATTTTTAATCATTCACTTCAAGCCCGTGTTATGCCAAACAGGCCCAATAGTTTGGCAGTGCACCGGGCGCTGAAAAATGCCAGGCTGGACGGGATCCATGCACAAGCAACGACATCGAGCTCTCTTGCTTCATTTCACATCAGCGACTTCCATGGGCCTATCTCCGATGGAAAGACAGGCGCATTGCGATTGGATCTCGGTGATTTTCTTGGTCGCTGGTCAACTGAACTTGATCATTTTGGAATGCGACAACACTGATCACTGATCTCTTCGGTAAATAACATCACTATACATGACTAAATCCATCTCCAGGCGCAGCTGCTGAACCTGTTCAACGCCACTGCGCGCAGAAGCAGCGAGAAGGAGACCATGCCTGGGTGCCGGTTGGGATCCCACATGATTCATAGCCTTGAAGATTTATATGATGACATGGGGATATCACATGATATCACCAATATTTGGGTGTCGGTGTTTGGATTTTTTTGTAATTTTGGGCCGGTTTTGGTACTGTATGTTTTTCATGTTTTTCATGTTCATTTTTTCATTGGACAATATTAGACACTCTTGGACATTGCGATGACGGTGCAGGAGCCAGACGTGCGCCGGCTGCAGATGGCCAAGTGGAAGGACTGCCTGACTGCCACTTTCCAAAGTATCACGGGAGAATTTTGTTTCAACTGTGGCAAACCTAACAATGAACATGCAGTATCATGCAGTAGCAACCAACCGGGAGGTGCGATCAATCCTCCCAAATAGAGGTAACATCAGGTAACTACACCCAATGAAAAATCACTATTCCGACCTCTGCAGGTCTTAAATCGCTTGAAGACCAGCGCTCAAAGGCGCTCAAAGGGGTCATCAGTTCTGAACGGGGGCATCCCATAGTTTTGGACAAAGCCAAAAAATGCCGAACATATCGAACAATATCATCCCCATGATTGCTGTATCCCCATCACGACAATGGGCAACATCCCAATTTTGATGGTTAGATCATGTTGAATCATCATTTTCCCATTGTCAGCCACGATGTTAATGTCTCATTTTGTTCAGCCAGGTGGAAGACGCCATGCTATGTGGGTATTCACACTACGGTGGCGCAGCTTGTTGAGCCTCCATCTCAGGTGATTCCAAGAATCTCGGAACTGGTTTGCCGGAAAATCTACTGGAAGCTCCTATATTTGTGGCAAAATGTGTGATTTCTTACAGATTTTTCCTTAAACCACTTTAAACCAATCCTTTGAAAGAAGTGTTTCAGTGGAAACATAATAATAACAACTCCGATGCTTGGACGATGAAACCATGGTTTTCTGTTTCCTTATCATTTCTGCCTTCAAGCAACAGTGACAGTGACCGGTGGGTACCTAATCAGTTTGATTTTACCAAGGGCAGGGCTCTACGAAGAGATTTTGTCCTGACGATCTAGCCTTGGGAGATGGAAAAAGAGTGGCTGCCAGAGCCAGCAACCTGCAGTCAGCTGACATGACCCGAGACCAGGGGTGCCAATCGTTGGAGTCTTACTCCTTGAAACTTATTATATAAACGAAACGCCCATGTGGTGCTTGGTACTCAGCCAGGTCTAGGTGTTGGACACATCACAATCTTGGTGTAGGTTGCACCATGTTGCACCCATATCCACTCGTTAATCAACAGACTTGCCAAGAACATGGAAATTGAGGATCCTGAGAGACCAACATGAAAAAGTAGCTGGTGTTCGAAAGATGCAGCGGCTACCAAATAAAAGTCAATTGGGCTGGTAGGATTGCAAGAATAAGATACATAAATATACATAATAAGATTAATTAACAAGAGAAAAACTTAATAAGATACATATATGTGCTGCCCCAGAAGGGCTGACAGCTCGCAAAGACGACGCCTTATCCAGATGGCAACTGGGTCCTTACCACTGGAAATTTAAGTTCTTTCCTTCATATAATCGGAGGTGCAGTCAACGGAAAAGTTGATGGTGTATAAGAGGTGCTTGCTGTCTTCAGCTTGATATTACTGTATTAGATAGGCAAAATATCTGGATATAAGTTATATCATGCTATTAAGTTATATGCGTATATTTGGCTGCGCGCAATCACCATCCAAGCACCAAAGGCCCCAAGGCCAAAGTCAGCGCGGCCCTTTCAGCTTTCAACATCTAGCTGGGCCCTTTGGGCAGCATAGATAGCTCGGCCCAGCTGCGATCACTGCAACATGGAGTACCTCATGCAGACCTTTCCGGAACGCCGCTTTGATGTGACGAACTGGATTGAAGCATGGCTTGGGCTGCCCTGCTGTCTCATTACAAGGTGCCTGTTGTGATGTCGAAACTGCTTTGTTGATCTTTTTTGCACCTCCCATTCGGAGTACCAGGCCACCCACTAGACAAAAAATAGGATTCTAGGATTCGAGTTCACAGGTTTCTGATGTGGACATGCCGTCCAAGGAAAAAGGCGGCGCTTACATTTGGTGAATCTATATAGCAATACCATGCAATACCTGCTGTTTTAAGGGACGTGTCCGGTGAGGAAGTCTCTTGAGCTTCAGAGTGAAGAAGTAGTTCTCCGAACTCAAAACTGCTGCTGCAACGTGACCCAACGGCGACCGTATGCTCAACTCACTCTTCTGGAGGAACGGACCATGTTCTGGGGAATCTGTGCTGGAATCAACTCGGACTTGGCACCCATGAACGACAAGGGCGAAGGTGGGGATAGTTGTTGTTTTTTTTGGTTCTGGATTTCAAATGTTTTTTTTCTATAATCCACTTCTCATCCCTCTGAATAGCTATAGCATGCTATAGCTATGTGGTGCTATCGGCTATCGGTCTATTGGCATTGCCAATGCATTGCCGTGTTGCTGATCAGGTGGCATCGTTCCAGGATGTGGTTGCTCACAGGAGTTGCTGGTTAGTGTTTCAGTATATTTTTGTTGGATCCTTGGAAATGGAAGCCTCCAACTGACTTTCACATTTTTCTGGGCTAAAAACGCAACGTAAAGCCATCATAGCCATCAGGCTTGTACATGAGATCGTGCGTGAGTTGAACCTCCGGAAGGATGGCAGAGGAAAGGTGGCCCAGATGAGGCAGCAGCGATTTATGTTGGAAAAGCTGAGCAAGTTGGCTGTTCAGGCCTGGGATATCCTGGGATGGCCGAGCAAGTTGGTCAAAAAGACGCGTTGATCATCAAGTGCTCATCCCAAAGGGTATTGAACCAAAAACGCATGTACCATGGGGTTGCAATTTCCTTCAATATTTCATACATCTGTTCATAGCTCTTCAATTCTTTTCATATTTTTTCATCCTGCGAACCCGATGAAATCTGTGTGTCATGCGCCGCTCCACGGCCAGGTACCGCTGCTGCTGACGCACTTTGGAGTGGCCTATCCTCCAGATGAGGCGACCGTGCGGCGGATCTTCGGAGCCAGGGCACCTCCCATGAGACCCTTGGCAGAGGTTGGATGCATGGAACGCATGCCCGAGTTCCAGCCCAGCGCATACGAACCCTGGAATAATTGGAACGGAATGGGACTGGAAGGGCTTGATAGTTGGCCCGTTGGCTTCTGAGAGCTGTATCTGCAATATCAACCGGCATCTATAGCCTGTAACAAGCTAGATGTATTAGACTTACGTGTATGTCTACGTGCACAGCTACACGCCTATATCTCTATACAATGTTTATCAAAGGAAGTTGGGAAGAAACCTTCCGAGTTACCAAAGACTGGAACAGCAATAACAATACATTTGTTGACTTAGGGAGTTGGTGACTTAGGGAGGTGTTGACAAAGGGAAGTGGTGACTAAGGGAAGTGTTGACATAGGGAAGTGGTGACTTAAGGAAGTGTTGACATAGGGAAGTGGTGACTAATGGAAGTGGTGACTAAGGCTTGTGACTAAGGGAAGTGGTGACTAAGGGAAGTGTTGACTAAGGGAAGTGGTGACTAATGGAAGTGGTGACTCTAGGAGGTGTTGACTTAGGAAAGTGTTGACTAAGGGAAGTGATGGCTTAGGGAAGTGATGGCTTAGGGAAGTGGTGACTAAGGGAAGTGGTGACTAAGAGAAGTGTTGACTTTGGGAAGTGGTGACTATGTGGTGACTAACGGAAGTGGTGATTTAGGGAAGTGGTGACGAAGGGAGTGTGGTGACTAAGGGAAGTGTTGACTTTGTGAAGTGGTGACTATAAGGGAAGTGGTGACTATAAGAGAAGTTGTGACTAAGGGAAGTGGTAACTGAAGGAAGTGGTGACTTGGGGAAGTGCTGACTAAGGTGCTGCAAAACGCATTGTAATGGCTGCATGAATGTTGCATGGGACTTGTGTTGGGGAGGAAGCCGGAGCACGAAACCTGGTGTTTTTTGATGTTTTTTGGGTAAAGTGGCTGCGGCCGGCGATGAAGGGCAGCTCGTGTGTGCGGCGGTTGCGGCTTGGATCGTTTCGAGCGTAATCGGTTCCTCCGTGGTGTTCTGCAACGCAGGGATGCAAATCGCATGGTACTGGTTGCATGGATGTGTACGTGGTGCTGCAAAACGCAGTGTAATGGCTGCATCAAGGTTCCTCGCTGCTGCGGCTGTTTGCGTGATATTATTGTCTTTTGCAGCTGGGAGTCGTGAATCGTAATGGAGTGGCTGCATCAAGGTAGTGCTATAGTCTATAGTGATTTGTCAGCAGATTTTCTCAGTTTTGGCGCTGGTGGTTCTCCTTTTAAAACTCCTTTTACAAAGTGCTTCAAGATCGTCCTCTTTTTCCCTTTGGGGCCGAGCCCCGGTTTTGGAGCTGCAATTTCCGGCGCTGCTGTGCGTAGTTTCTTTGTGTTTTGCAATGCAGTCTCTGCAGATCGCGCGGTAGTGGCTGCATCAAGGTTCCTCGCTGCTGCGGCTGCCTCCGTAATACGATTGGTTTTTGCAGCTGAGAGTCGTGAATTGGAATGGAGTGGCTGCATCAAGGTTGCCATGGTGATTTGTAAGCAGATTGAGAAGCTGGTGGTTTTCCTTTTTATCCTTTTTTAGTAAAATTTCCTTCAAAAAGCGCTTCAAAATCGTTCTTTTTTCGCTTTGGCGCTTTTTGGAGCTGCAATTTCTGTTTTCATGGAGTGCAAGCCATCTTCTTTGTGTAAAAACTTCTTTGTGCAAAAGGTTGCTGTGTGTAAAAGATTTTGTGTGTCAAAGCTTGCTGTGTGTCAAAGCGTTCTGTGTGTCACAGCTTGCTGTGTGTAAAAGCTCTCTGTGCAAAAGCTTCTTCCTACTACAGCTTCTCTGTGTAATTGAAAGCTTCTCTCTCTCTCTAAAGGCTTGTTGTGTGTAAAAGTTTGCTGTGTTTAAAAGCTTCTCTGTGTAAAAAGTTACTGTGTGCAAAAGCTTGCTGTGTGAAAAGTTTATTTGTGTAAAAGACTGCTGTGCGTAAACGCTTGCCGCGTGTAAAAGCTTTCTGTGTGTAAGCGCTTGCTGTGTGTAAAAGCTTTCCGTGTGTAAAAGCTTACTCAGTGTAAAAGCTTGCCGTGTGTAAAAGCTTGCTGTGTGTAAGAGCTTCTCTGCGCAAAAGCTTGCTGTGTGTAAGAGCCTCTGTCTGCAAAAGGGTCTCTGTAAAAAGTTACTGTGTGCAAAAACTTGCTGTGAGAAAAAGTTTCCGTGTGTAAAAAAATGCTGTGTGTAAACGCTTGCGGTGTGTACAGGCTTTCTGTGTGTAAAAGCTTCTGTGTAAAAGCTTGCTGCGTGTAAAAGCTTGAGGTGTGTTGGGAAGTACTTTTTTCATCTTTTTTCAACCTGTGTATTACAAAGTAGTAATGGGAAGTGCTTTGTGCAAGCTTTGTAGTACACAGTAGTACTGGGAAGGACTTTGTGCAAGCTCTAGTACAAAGTAGCACCCGGAAGTGCTTTGCGCAAGCTTTGTAGTACAAAGCAGTACTGGGAAGTATTTTGCGCGAGCTTTGTAGTACAAAATCAGTAATTACTGGGAAGTACTTTGTGCAAGCTGTGTAGTACAAATTATCACTGGGAAGTGCTTTGTGCAAGCTTTGTAGTACAAAGTAGTACTGGGGAGTATTTTGTGCAAGTCTTGTAGTACAAAGATGTACAAAGTAGTACTGGGAATTGCTTTGCGCAAACTTGTGCGTAAAAGGTTCTGTGTGTAAAAACTTTGTGTGTAAAAGTTTCTCCGATTCTCCGAGTAAAAACTTCCGTGTGTAAACGCATCTGTCTCTAAATGCCATAATGCTTCTCCGTCTAAAAGCTTGCTGTGTTTAAAAAGCTTCTCTGTGCAAAGGGCTTTTCTGTGTAAATGCACCTGTGTCTCAAGCTTCTGTGTGCAAAAGCTTCTATGCAAAAGCTTTCTGCGCGCAACGGTTTTTGCGTGCACGAGGGTTCTCTCTGACAGTAAAAGCTTTCTGACGTGCAGAAGAGCTGAGATGAGTTGAGAAGAGCTTCCGTGAGATGAGAAAGGTTGAGCAGGGCTCTGATGAAATGAAAAAAGTTGAGAAGAACTTAGATGACATATGACAAGAGATGAGATGAGATGAGAATATCTCAGGTGAGATGAGATGATCAAAGTGCGAAGGGTGAAGTGCAAGTGCGAAGTGTGAAGTGTGAAGTTTGACAAGTGTAGTGTGAAGTGTGGAGCTTCAAGTGCGACTTTTGGAACAGTGCATCACCGTCGCACAAAGCACGCACGCACGGGCCTGGCTGGCACACGGCGCATGCAAGTTCTATAGACGAATTGTAGTAAAACCCTAAGGCAACTTCCGCCCCGCCTCGTGCGGATACTACTGGTATATATGTTGATATCTATTTGTTCAGCAATAGTTACGGAAAATCAACCACTAGTGGTTCTGAGGGACCATGCTATGACTCATGGGAGTTGGTGGGCAACACTGCTTAGTGGCCGGTGTAGGCAGAACGCGTAGGATTCACATTTTATTCAGGCGGTTGGCCGTTGGCGTAGGCTTAGTCGGATTTAGTCAGCATAGGTGTTGCCGTAGACCTCCGCGTAAAGTATTAGCCCCAAGGGACAACAACTACTACTTGAGTGATACATGTACACCCTGCATATAATAGATATGAATAATATTTATTAATTATCCCCCTGGCAATATCCCTTACAAAGCCAGGAGGTCGGGCTCCCAAAACAACCAAGTTTTGTACAAGCACTTTCCTCTACAAAGCTTGGATCTCACGCTCTGATATTGATGCTAAATTGACGTTTTTTTTTCAACATAAATGAATCCTAGCTTTGTAGAGGGGTGTTTTTGAGCCTGATGTGAAAATTTCTAAAAACATAATAACCTATATCCATCTTTGTAGAGCCAGACCCTTCTGATTTTCAATCATTTTTAATTTTGTAACCCAAAGAAATTTCATATTTTCACCGTTTGAAATTTGTAGTGGGAGTGGGTTTGTCTGCAGAATTAAGTAGGTTGAGGTTTGTAAGGTGTAGATTTGTCCTTGTTTTGTAGGTTTGAACTTTGTAACTGCCTGTCCCTGTTGCTGTTTTTTCTGCTGTGCGATAAGATTTTCCTCAATGATTTGATGAGATATTATGATATATGACATATATTTTGACTTTGAATGAATAGATATGAGCATTGAAACCCAGTGCATATTTGTAATATGTATGTATTGTTTGATAGAATTTCTTTGGGTCCCAATGAATATCAAGCATGAACATCCATCATCAAGCAAGAACAAACTAGAACAAGTATCTGAACACATCAGGGCAATCTAGCAAATTCCATCAAATTCCTATCGGGGATCGGGGCGTTACAAAGCTCGAAGAAAATAGGATTTTTGGGTGTAAGCTGATGCTAATTTGGCATCTTTTTAACAACATAAATGAATCCTAGCTTTGTAAAGCCTTATGTTGTGAAAAAAACACCTGTCATAGAGCAACCTGGGTCTCGAGCTTTGTAAGTTTTACATTCTATGACGGGCCCCCTGTTTCAACTTTGTAGAGGCCAAAAAAAACCTGATACTACATTTGTGGTTACAAAGCTCGGCTCCCAAGTTACACATGGAATTCACAGGGGGATTATTAATTACTAATGGGGAAACCATAAATCGCTACTTCAAATTGGTGTGGGATTTATTGCATATATGTATGTATAATTATGTATATATATATCCTACGTCTTCCAACGTATGCAAAATTATTGCCTTTTCAGGAATTATTGCTGGCGGCTTTTTTTCTGCCTGAGAACAGATTTTGCATTTTTCTCATGTTGCATATGTTTGCCGGTTTTGAAACGGCGAAAAAACCCAACGAAACGGCGAAAAAACCCGACGAAGCGGCGAAAAAAAACAAGAGCCCAAAATGTGGAAACTGAAACGGCGAAAAAAACTGGAAACAGCGAAAAATTTGGCAACCGGCGATAATTATTGCTGTTTCGGATTTCGAGCGATAATTTTGCACAGATGGGTTATCCAGGTATATATAACTATTTTTCCATTCTTACCAGGGGCCCTTCTAGGGGCCACACTTTGTCCCTCATAATTGACTCACAATGGTGTTTTTGAGTTCGGTACAGTTCGGTTCAGGACGTGACCTGCTGCTTGCAAAGCATTTGCTGCACTTCGAGACACTTGGAGCTCGCCCAAGATGAAGCAGTCCTTACCACAAAACAGACCATCACAGGAACTGTTGCTCGGCTACCCATGACGACATTGGGATTGGATTTAAGATAATAATTCAAGTAAGGTCGTGCTCAGTCATGTCTGATTCTGCTGGCAAAATATTTGTGAAATATTTGGTCCTATTCAATATTTCAATGTTTTTTCCCGAATGCGTAGCAAGGGTTCCCGTTTCACTCTGGGGGTCTGGGGGTTGAGGGTGTGTTCGCTCGACGTTGCCAAACCGTTCGCAACCGTCCGCAACCGTTCGCAACCGTCCGCAACCGTCCGCGTGAGGGCCATATGGCCGTGCCTATAGTAAGTTTTGCAAGAGGGGTCACTTTTGGAGGTTTCAAACGTCGCGTTGCTTCGTTTCGCGTGGCGGGCGTGGCCCTTCGTGACATTCAGACGTGTTTTGTAACGTGTCAAAAGTCGTTTTGTGTGGCAGGCGCAATACTTTTACGACGTTTTCGCAAGATGAGTTGCAGTTTTCATGGCAGGCGCAGCACTTTGGACGTGTCCATCGTCATTTTGCGTGGCAGGCGCAGCACTTTAGACGTGTCGTGGTGCGTGCTTTTTTGCGAATCGCATTGTCAGGGCTGCGTCAAGTGGCGACAAGGTGCAAATTCCGTGGCAGGCGTGGCATTTTGTGAGATGTGATGACAATTGACGGAAGCCTTGCACGAAACACCGATTTTGGGTTGCAAATTTTCAGGTTCTAAGGAAAACTCGTAGGAAAACATCGATTTTGAAGCTACAAAGTGTCAAAATTGGAGGAAGTCGCACGAAATGCTCGTTTTGATGCTCCAACGTGTCGCGTCTCGAGTCTCTGGTTTTGTGGCCTCGCCGTGTCTATGGGGGAAGCTGCAAAACCTTTCCTTTTCGAAGGTGTCACAAGCAGGTTGTCATGTCGTTTTGCGTGGTAGGCGCGGCACTTTGTGACATTCCAACCTGTTTGATACCGTGTCGAGAGTCGTTCTGTGTGGCAGGCGCAATACTTTTCGTCGTTTGCACAAGATGTTGCAGTTGTCGTGGGAGGCACAGCATTTTGGAGATCTCTGTCGTCATTTTGCGTGGCGGACGCAGCACTCCACACTCCACAACCTACACTTTACGCTTCACACTCCACCCTTGACACTTCACACTCCAAACTCTACACTCTACCCTTTACACTCTACACTTTACACTTTATACTCGACACTTTACATTCCACAATTTACACTCTACACTCCACACTTTACACTCCGCACTTTACACTCCACACTCTATTCTTTACACTCCTTACTCCACACTTTACACTTTACACTCCACACTTTACACTCTACACTCCGCACTCCACACTTTACACTCCACGTTTTACACTTTACACTCCACACTCTACACTCCACACTCTACACACGCCACTCTACACACGACACTCCCCACTTTACACTCCACGCTTTGCACTCCACACTTTGCACTCCACACTTTACACTCCACACTTTGCACTCCACACTCTACACTTTACACTCTACACTCCACACTCCACACTCGACACGTTCCACTCCACACTCCACACTCTACACTTTACACTCCACACTTTACACTTTACACTCCTCACTTCACGCTCAGCACTTTACACTCCACACTTTACACTTTACACTTTATACTCGACACTTTACACTCTACACTTTACACTCCACACTTTACACTCCACACTGCGCACTCTACACTTTACACTCTACACTTTACGCTCTGCACTCTACACTCCACACTTTACACTTTACACTCCAGGCTTTCCACTTTACAGTCCTAACGCACCTTACACTACACACTTTACACTCCACACTCTACACTTTACACTCCACACTCCACGCTCTACACTTCCCACTCCACACTTTACGCTCTGCACACCCCACACTCCACACTTTACACTCCACACCACACTCTACACTCTACACTCTACACTCTACACTGTACACTCCACACTCCATACTCTACACTTTACACTCTACACTCCACACACTACACTTTACACTCCACACTCCACGCTCTACACTTCACACTCCACACTTTACCCACTGCACACCCCACACTCCACACTTCACACCCCACACCACACTTTACACTCTACACTCTACACTGTACACTCCACACTCCATACTCTACACTTTACACTCTACACTTTACACTCTACACTTTACACTCCACACTCCACACATTTCACTTTACACTTTACACTCCACACTT